GGGTGTCATGTGAAAACTCATGTCGCTATTACCGGCGAAAATATTTCAAAGTATACATTGTTATCGATCAAAAATATCACCAGTAAATAAGTGAAGTGTGGACAAAATCATTTCCGCGTTCTAACCTTTTCTTCGGCCATGACTGTTGACGATGATGAGAGATAAAAATCCACGAAACACGAATCTTCACAGTCAGGGAATCACCTTTGTTCGGAATATGGCGGCTTTCCCGCTGGTGTTTAAGTGAGACCACCTAACATGGTAAATATAAACACTGACCAGGAGATGATACCAGTCTCGACCATACATAATTTTCAGGATATTCAGAAACATTTGTTTTTGAGACAATTATTGTTATAACCCCTCAAGGTGTTTTCAATACGAATGAACTTAAATATAAACATTAACTTACTTTCTAAAATGTGCCAGTTTCAGGCTTCCTAGGTGGTACGGGGTGACCTGATTTTCAAAACGAGGGTGAGGGAAACTCATCGTCCAGCGAACATGTGAATGCGGACTGTACAGGAAGTTACTCGAAGTCGCTTTTTATGTGAGTTTACGAAGATTAAATTGTTAATCCGCAAAATATTTTGAACCTGAAGACACTTGTATTTTTCTTTTTCGCTCTCCCTTGAAGTCGACAAAGTGCCAGGTCAGAGTATACAAGTCAGTCGCTGTCTTGGTTGATGTTTCCAACACACAGACATTTTTCCACTAAGATTACAGCGAATGAGTTTACAAAATACACAGGCAAACATGTCAACTGTTGCGAAAAATGAGAAAGATGCAGCTCTGATTGTAGCCGAGGAGATGGTTACAATGGAAACAGAAGCAACGATTAATCATGATGTTCCTAACACGAAGCAAGATGGAAATGATGGACACCAGGGAGATGGGGCCAGTCCCATCAAAGACGAAAAAGATGACACAGTTCCCGTGGGCTGTGATGATGATGATGGCGAGGAGGATGACGATCCTTATTCTTATACAAAAAGGAATCTGTTCACGTCTGAAATCTACAAAATAGAAGTAACAAACTTACCCAAACATTATGGTTTCAAAGTAAGCAATGATAGAGCTGGATTTTGTGAATACTGTAAATAGTTTTAATTTCACTCCTAAAACGATTTTATGGCATTTGTGAAAACAAAATTTTGCAAGTCATTGACACTCCATGTGGTAGGACACCAGAGTAATTTTCACTGCTATACAATTTGGCAATTTTCACACTCGCAAAATTTATGGAAATTTCTCTTTGCGAACTTAAAGCAATTTACAGTACTGTGGAATACTTTATTTTCGCTGGAATTAATTTTCGCTGAAAAGGCTTTTTGGGCGTTTTGCTTGGAATTTATTTTCACTGATTTTTCATGAGTTTAATGTGAAAATATAGGAAAAAAAGTATATTCGCTGGATTTTATTTTCACGGAATCATCCCTTCAGCGAAAATAGCAAAAATAAATTCCAAGCGAAAATAAAGTATTCTACAGTACATTTTAACTTTGTTTCACACACATTTGATGAAAACCATTTGATGCTTGGTCATGCAAATAAGCATGTATAGAGAAGAAATGTGTTAACTCCATATTGAATTTTGCAAAGGGTTGTGGAATATAGAATTGAACTTTAGAGGGCATTGGGGAGGGGGGGATCATATAATTTCCATACATTCCTGCGCTGATGATGTCATTTACTGGATTTAATTTATTTATTTAATTATTTATCTTGTATGTTGGCTTACTAAATTTATGTATTGTATCTTGTCATGTATTGTAGCAATTAAAGAAGATGTTTACTAATCAACTGAATTTGAAACCAAACAAGATCAAGATTTTCAACAGAGCCACGTATTGCTTTGTCACATTCAGGTTTGTACACAAAGGCTAGATTTAGCATGCATGTCTATGCAAATACTGTGATTGATCGGTATTTTGGATTGGTCTGTACCAACAAATCCAACTGTAGCCTTAAATATTAATCTGTTATAGAAAAATCAATCTTGATCTCTATATTTTGAACAAAACAAATTTAAATATGTAAAATATTGTTCTGACAATGTTTTACAGATTTTTATAGTAAATAAAAACAGATTCATAAGCTATCACTAGTCTTATTCATTCTCAGCAAAAAAGATACAAAAGTGTCACACCAATTTGTTTTTAAACATTTGTTTTACATTCCTGGCTGATTTTGGGCAATGATTTTTATATATATATGTTTTCAATTCTCTAGGTGCGAAGAAGACAGAGATTCTGCCATCAAAGCTGTTAATGGTTTCACATGGAGGAAAAACAAACTTGGTGCAAAGGTAAAATTTGAAATATAAACGTAAAACCTCAGAGTATAGCGGAAATGCATGTTGTCTAGGGAATAAAAGACAATGCACTGTCCAATATTGTGTGATAACAGGGTAAGGATGGAGATGTGCAAGCCAACATTCCCGTCCAAGCTCTGTTATCTTTTATTGTAATTATAATAACTCAAATTGTTGAAAACTTGAATAACCATGCAGTGGTTCCCTTGGAAGGAAAGAAAATGACAGTGTGGCCTGCTAGTCAACGACACTTGCATTTATGTTGTACAAGAACATTCACACTCGATCACTCAGGTAATTTTTTAGAAGAAAATAACTCAGATTTGTTAAGGTAAATGAATCATAAATGGCTTGTTATAAATAGACCATTTTCCGTTCACTGCGAGAATCACGCGTTATGCGTGAAATCGGACGTAAAACAGGACAAACAAAGGTCATAGCGTCGTAGTCGCGTCAAACATCACGTGGGATTCGACAAACGCAAAAGTATTTCGGGGACATTTCCATGCTTAATAATGTGCTGTCCACATTTGATGATAGGCAATTTCGATTAGGTAAGGGTATTCGGAAGCAATATTCCTCTGTCGAAGATCGGCCGGTCAATGTAAGCTACGAAATAAAGAAATTCTAGTTCAAATTCAAATTGTTCGATTTTTGCGACAGACGTTCGAAGCGCGTCTTTCATACATCTCGAGAGATCTCGCAATTGTACGGAAAATCACCTATTGAGTGTTTGTGTATTGTGCCCAACACTGCCCAGTTATCGTCTAATAACTGGTCATCATTGGTACACATCAATTAATTATAACATGCTGTTGTAGCACACAGTACTATAATGCTGCATGCGTAATAGCTTATATGATCAGTTCATTGTGATTACTATACATACACGTTGACCATGGATTTCAACCAACACTATCTTGTACAAAAGTTTGAATCTGATATAATGCGAATTGGTGCCTTCTACTTGGGCAATACAAAGACGTATTTGGGTAGACTAACTAGAGAAGAGGGTTAAGTACAGGTGGAAGTGCATATACTGTAAAACCATTTATTGTCACTGACATTTAATTTTACTGTTTTTATGTTTTGAGCAATTTTACTGTTTTAATTTCATGAATTTGTCAAGGAAATAGTTTTATTGTTATTTCACATGTTCACGTAGATTTAATTTAATAGCGAAATTAAAACCCAGTGAATAATTAAAACATTTACAGTAAACTAAAAATTGCATTTACTGTAATCATTAAAATGTAACATCCCTGTCATTTACATAAGCGCATGCGCTTCTAATTGATCAAATGATGTAGCACTGGAGGAAAGTAATCCACAAATTGAACTGATTGAAATAAAAAAAAAAGATTTTTGAAAGTAATAAAATGAATGCATACAAGGCTGTGCCAGTCTGATTGATTGCAATTGAGTTGTAAATTTCAAAGAATATGTTGTTAACCAGCTTGATATCTCTTTTAATAGAAAGCTAACCCTGCTCAGGACCCTCACATCAGGAGTGCCCAGAAAAGAAAATTAGATGTCGAGGCGACTGACAGCAAAAACAAAATTGTCAAGAAGACTAATGAAGAGAGTATGTTGTTGGATGACAGTATACCAGTACATGAAAAGTAATTTGAATTATGTTTCTTGGTTTATCCTTAACTCATTCATTCCAAACAGATTTCTTGTTTTGTGCCTGTATTGCCCTACCAGTACTTTCTAGTTTCTTGAATTTTGCCTAACTAGTTTCTTGATTTTTGCCTAATTAGTTTTTTGATTTTTGCCTAACTAGTTTTTTGATTTTTGTCTAACTAGTTTTTTGATTTTTGCCTAACTAATTTCTGCCCAAGTAGTCTCTTGGTCTTTCCCTTACGAGTTGTTTTTTGTTGTTGCCTAACTTGCATGTATTTACTCCTGACAAATCTGTATTGTCTGATCCTTGCCTAATAATGTTAATGCATTAATTATTCACTAGGTTTCAATTTTGTTATTTTTGCTAAATTAAAGTTTTAATTCACGTGAAAATGCAAATTAGAATAGAATGCAAATTAAAATAGAATGCATTGTTTCACTTGCATATTTGTGAACTTAAAACCTGAACCTTGGTGAATATGCTCAAAATTGTGAAATTAAATGCCAATAATACAGTAGTCTATGTAGTGTAGTTTTTTCCAATTTATTTATTTGGGTCACAACTATGTGTTTTCATGTGCATGTGTTTATGCGTATAATTCCATTTCTCAGCGAGCATTTTTTTTTTACAAAGACAAGATGCATTGGTATCTGTATTTGTCAATTTCTATTGTTTAATGAAATCTGACTGATTGAATTGAGCTCTTCCCCCTCCAACAAAACATTAACAAGATCAGCTTCATTCAAACAAGGTGAAGTCATCACGCACAGTCTTCTGCTTGGATATACCATGATAATAATTTCCATGTGACATGTATTTTAATTGCAGGTTAAATAATGTGGCTACTCCACTATGGAAGCTGGATTACAAAGACCAATTGGTAGTGAAGGAAAAGGAAATGAGTGAAGTTCTCAAGTTCATTGCAAAGAGAATAGAAAAGCAGTGTCCAAACATGTTGGGTTACATCAAACGACAGAAGTAAGCGAACCTTTGCTTTAAATGCATTAATTCACTGGGTTTTCATTGAGCTTTTTTCGCTGATAACTAAAATAATGCTAAAATAAATTTATGCAACATGTAAAAAAATGCCAGTCATGAGTGAAAATAAATGGTTTTACAGTATTTATCAGAAATATACAAACAACTTATGCATGTTTCATGATTACTAGGAACTTTAAATGTCAAAAACACTATAATGGTTTTCAAGAAAGAATAAATGTTCTTAGATTTCAAATACAAACAATACAATTTACCAACCATTTGACAATTAATGCTTTTAAGGTAGAGATGCACTTTATTTGTGAATTTCAATCAAAAATAGTTTTTTTCGTTTTTTATATAGATTTTTATCTAAAGAACATTCTGTGAAAATTTGACCAAGGAATTCTTATTGGAACACCGTTAAAATTGCTATTTATTTTCTGGTTAAAAATAAAAAAACACTCACACGTGGCAATGTTTATGTCCAATTGCCTAATTTGCATGAGTAACCAAATAACAAGACCTTTGATTGACAATATGCAAATCGAGATTGTAATGAATGTTATGTTTCTACAATTTCCCACAGATTTATGATCTGTGACATTTTGAATAAGTACCTCTCATATAAACCAAACATTATTGATGAATGAACAAGTCAGCAGTAATTTCACACACTGTTATACCATGGATTTTTTTTAATAGATAATGACAATTTTTTTTTCAGGATCTAAATATAATGTGAAAATCTCTCAAAGTAATTTTTTTTACCATTATTATTTAATAACTTTTGTTTTAATTTGTAGGAGGTTATACAATCATCAGTGTTGCAAGTTGGACTCTATCAAACCTTCTGTAAGTTGTCAACTAAATCATTCTTGATCCATCTTTCCTAGTCTCAAATTGTTCTAAGATTTAGTTACTGAGATTCATCTAGTGTGCTCACACTATGATCTGAGGTAAATCTGGGCAATTCACTGAGGTACATTTGCAAAGCATGCTGGGGTATCGAACCAGGTACATGATTTTTGAACACCTTGGGGAGCCTGAATATTAAATTCAGTTAATTTATCTTTAATCACTATTTTCATATTGTGCAATTAAAATTTGGTAGTGTATTGACCCGTATTAGTAGTGCTTGTGTGACAGAGTTGTGTCTGTGGTCAAAGTAACTCGTATTTTAATGCTATTAGTGCCAATTTTTTCCCTGCTTAAAATGGGCTAAATTTGTTCACATTTTCTATTATTATTATTATTATTTTCACTGATTTCAAATTTAATTTGAATCAAGCGGACAAAATGTTACATTGCTTATAGTTTTTAATCAAAAAAAAAGTTGAAATTTTCATCAACATTTTCTGCTCAGTTAATAATCCAGAGCAAATGCTGTATTTCATTGTCTATCATCCAGTATGACTTTCTGACTCAATTCACCTAATGTTCTGTGTCTAATTATTTTCAGCCTGTTACTGAAGCATACAGAAATAAATCTGAATTCTCTATTGGTGTCAGTCCTGATGGACAAGGTAAAACCCTCATTAGTGTACAACTTACTCAGTGTCTTCACATTTGTTATCTGTTATTTTGAAATATAACAAAATTTTAGATTATAAAATGTTCAAAAGGATGTCTTCTTCAGTTCGAAAATGTGAGGGACATTGTCATATTTGAACACTTTCGTGTAATGGAAAATATAATCGTGTCACTGAATGATGGCACTAGCTCAAATTTTGTGAAATGAGACTTGTTGGCATTTTAGTATTTTGTTTCTCACTGAATTATATCTGTATGCAGGCAAAGGTATTTATTATAATGAGGTTATGAGACTATTGCAAAGTTTCACTTGGGCAGCATGGGATCACTTTGACCTCTGTTACATCAGTGAATATAATCACTGTACAAAATGTATTATTCCGTCTTTCAGAGAAAACTGTCGGATTTAAAA